GCTGGTCGGTCCAAGATTTCTTTGAAGTGTTCTACCCACCTGTTTCGTCGTTCTCCAATGTTGGTGATTACCTCGCCTTCCTTGTTTTTTACTGGTCGTTCTGGTTTACGGTGATTTCCAGAGAGTTTCTTTGTTGTTTCATACAGTTGTCTCATGTTCCCCTCTCTTGCAGCCTTTTCCGCCGTCAATGCCAAATCTTCCACATATTTACGTTTGTCGGTTCTGATGCTCCTTTTCACTTGCTTGTTTACTTCTGTGTATTCAGCCTGTGCCTTGACTTTGTCTGCTCTTGTTCGACTGGTATTGATTGCTGCCTTATTGTTCCTCCTTTCTTGAATCTTATCCAGAGTATCAACAGTGATCCAATCCTTGTGATTGTGCTTTTTTGGCCCAGAATCTCATGACGTGTTGAAGTGATGGCCTCTTTTACCCCCTACCAGTTGCTCTCCATAGTAGTTCCTTCTCCATTGAGTAGATCATGAAAGGCTTGGAACTTATTGCTGAGGGTTATCTTGAATTCATTGAGTTTGTCAGTATCCCACAGAAGAGCCGTATTAAATTTTTGTGATATTGTCCTCCCCGTTGTCCAGTGCCTCTTGAGTTTCAATTTCATCTTGGCGACCAGCAAGTGATGATCTGATGCTATATCAGCTCCTCTCTTTGTTCTCACGTCCTCCATCGTCCTCTTGAACTTTTTGTTGATGCAGATATGGTCGATTTGGTTCTGTGTGGTGTGATCCGGTGGAGTCCATGTGGTTTTGTGTATGCGCTTATGTGGGAATATAGTCCCGCCTATGACCAGTTTATTGAAGGCACATAGATTTGCAAATCTCTCACCATTTTCGTTCCTTTCTCCCAGTCCGTGTCGTCCCATGATCTCTTCATATCCGGTGTTGTCAATTCCAACCTTGGCATTTAGGTCTCCCATCAGAATAGTCAGGTCTTTTGTTGGGCACTTCTCGACGATTGACTGCAGCCTATCGTAGAATTGATCTTTAGCGTCTTCATTGTAGTCATTGGTAGGCGCGTAGCATTGGATGACGTTCATTGTAATGCCCGTTTTCTTTGTTTTGAAGGAGGCTTTGATGATCCTTGGTCCATGAGATTCCCATCCTATAAGTGCATTTTGTGCTTGTTTGGACAGCATCAATGCAACTCCTTGTGTATGTGGGGCATTTTCTTGTTCATGTCCGGAGTATAACAGCAGCTCCCCTGAAGCTAGTCGTTGTTGTCCAACTTGCGTCCAATGTGTTTCACTGATCCCAAGCACCTCTAAATTGTATCTCCTCATTTCTGAAGCAATTTGGAAAACTCTCCCAGTCTCCGACATTGTGCGAGCATTCCATGTACCAAAATAAATGGTTGCTCTGGTTGTCAGAAGGGGCATCGGCCTCGTGACTTCCGAAGAAACTCGGCTTTCATCATGAGGCGTCATAATTCTTCTAAACGAAGACCCCCTGACTCCCAGGGCAGAGTTTAAATGGTTTGAATAATTTTTTCTGGTTAGCGTTTTTTTAGCGAGTTAGTTTTCTACGGGATGGGGTCGCTAACCCCATGCCCAACCCTCCTTCTTTTACCAAGGCTTTGGACCGGCAGTAGCCCCCGGAGGGACTCCAGACGGATTTATACTTCAGTGTCATGTAACTTTAATTAGATTTTAGAATAAGCTTCTTCTTTCTAGGTGATTAAAACTGTAAATTTCTTAAAGGTAATTTCTAAGGTTTTGAAGAAATTGATTAGTTACATTACGAAATGTTTTATTGTCATTTTCGTTTACTTCTTTACATTCATCACATGTTACAAACTGTCTATAACCACTATAGTTATTGTTGTAGGTATGCTTAAACTTTAGTGAATTTATTCATAAGACTACTTCTGTTTACATTTTATTCCAGAATAATACGAGTTTGCGATGTTTGTTTTTTTTCATTAATATAAAATTATTTGATTTCTAATTTGTTTTTCATCATATATACTACTAATAATTCGTGTTATGGGAAAAATAATCTCCAAAAGGATATATGACATTTATAGCTTTTTAGTATTGTCTTTTAGCATAATTTATGCACAGAACATTCTCATAACTCTCTCACTCTCTCTTCCCTGTTCGGTGTATAAGTTTTCTCCCCGTGGAAACTTTCTTCTACCTAAAATTTTTCAATATGAATAATGAAGAGACTTTTATTACAGAAAAAAACACACTTTAATTTGACTTTTCACAAGTTTTATGAGTAATTTTACCACAGAAAGCTATAAATAAACGAAAATTTAAAACAGATATTATGAAATTGATTACTGTCTTCTTATTGAGTAATAAATACATAACTTAAATAGTATAGATTACATAGATTTCGTTTTACCGACAATTTACTACTACTGATGCTCATTCAATCTATTATTTATTGATAGAACTAGGACTTTTACTTAAATATTAAAATGAATATTTAACGTTGAACGTTGGAGGTGGGGTTGTTTCTGAATCATTTAAAAGTCGAGATTTATGAGAAAGAAAAAGAAAGATTGATTTGAGTTTAAGAGGAATGAATTTTAAAGAATAACAATAATATGGTTTTAATTTTTTATGTATCACATATAGGATATAATTGAAATTAGAAAAAAGTTATTCATATTTATCAGTATAAGCTTGTGGAGATTGTTGTATTTTGGTTGAAATCATGGATCGACCAACGTTAGACCATCATCAAAAACCTGGAAGCACTGGATGGCCGTTTCATCTTAGTATGGCACTCCTCAACAGTGTTCATCCACGATCCCACACACTGGATTCGAGCCCATGACCTTTGATTTCGCGCATGAGTGTTTAATCTCTAGACTACTTAGTGAGCACTCGACGGTATTAATGTCTAACTTCATATTTAGTTGAAAGATTACATAATTGGTTTTTCGTAAATAATCCATTTAATATATCATAAATGAAACTATATAGTAACTTGGAGAGAAATGTCTTTCTGGTATGTCTTACCCATAGTATCCTGTAAATTAGCTTCTTTTTTTCTTTTAATTTATATCATTTTCAATGTATCACTGTGCTACAGATGTGTCAAATAATGTACCACAATTCAACTAAGTTATAACTATGTGCTTTAGAGTGTAGATTGAATTTAATGTTATCTCAACTTGAGAAGTGATATTAATGTCGAGAACGACAAAGGTCAACTAAGCCTTAGGCAAATTGATATATTAGAAAATTGACAGGTATTTATCAAAATATCACATTCATTTTGGTCGAATACATAATTTAGAAAATGAGACAATTTTCTAAATCATAAAGGGGGGTTCGTGGAGATTATAGTAATTTAATAGTTGAATTCATAAGTTGACTAAAGCTAGACCGCCTTGGAAAACCTGGAAGCACTGGACGACCGTCTCGTCCTAGTATAAGACTCCTCGACAATGTACATCCACAATGCCCTCAAATGGCCTGGTACGGCTGAGGGTTGGGAGAGTCCTATCTCCCTCTTCAAATGCTCTCATATGGCCACGCGTATACAGCCACTGCCAGGGAAGTTCTACTGACTGCCTTCTCGCGACATTACTGTTGTTTACGAAATGGAAAGGACGAAAAGCGAATGTCCGGCGATCTAACCGGGTTGGTGGATACTGAGAGTCTACCTAGAGGAGTCGGAAAACTCTGGTTCTAAACCAGTGGTGCAAATGGGCTCCAGTATCCTGAGGGCACAAATGGCACACGGACCAATTGTTGGTCACTGGCTACTATGGGATCACAATTCCTGACGTTGCCCCATTGCCTTGTGGATCAGACCTTTTGGTCGAAAGCTTGGGGTGTGACCCTCTAGGAAAGACACCTGCTTCGGTCTGGGCATCCGGTCGGTATCACAGCTTACACACAAATCAAGTGACTTGCGTGGCGCATATACATTCGGTGCCCATTTGTATTAATACTTATGTGTTCAAATAAATAAATGATGCATCTATGATCACTGTAGACCACTGAACCGGCATCCGACGGTGTTAATGTCTAACTTTTCCTGGTTCATTTTTATTTAACTAAAACTTCATATAGCAATAGACGGCTGCATGCTTGAATACCTGGGTTACCTGTTCCTGCCATCTAGATATTTCAACAAGTTATCTGTTTTTTGCTTGCCTTAACACATCATTATGTCCATTAACCGCACAACCTATTCAGGCGCTTTTATGAAAAGTTTAAGACCTTCCGCTGCACAAGTTACGAAAAAGTACAACCAAAAACGTTGTGGTTGCTAGAGATATGAATTGAAAAGAATGTGCATTATTCAGATGTCGATTCCTGAACTGCTAACATCTAGCTGGCAATCACTCAATATTGATCGTCAGAATCGATCAAGAAATAAGAAAGAGAAGCTTGTTGAAATACTTTGTGCTGAGAATTATATATTGTCCCAAAAATCCAAAAATATAATATTGAATAAAGCAATTATATATATATATATATATATATATATATATATATATATATATATATATACGAATGAGCTGCGTACACATTAATCCGATTTCGAAAATGTAGCTTTCTAAATATTCTGACTGTTTTCACTTGCATAATGGTTGGTTCAGGCGTTTAGGAAGCATGTACATCTTGCAACCAAATCAGACTCGATGATCCTAATGTAAAAACCTGACATCTTATAGTAATAAACGGTCGACGTTTTAATCCATAGGTAACGCTTATTTAATCCCTTTTTAAAGTGTCCAAATGTCTGATTTCTGATAAATTCTAATAATACGGATGGTTACTACTGATGAATGGATGAAAGTACTATGATACACAGTTTATTAACGTAATAAAATATACCAACCTCAATTCCTTCTACTTACAGTTTACGTCTAACTATCTAATTGTCATATCAATTCTTAAACAACTATCACTTAACTACTGACATTAACACCGAACTCTTTAATTAGAGAGAAAAAGTAAAATACATAAATAGTTTGAACTAATTAACTATTAATTTATTTTAATCAAATTAATAACTTACTCTTACACGACCTTCTGATAGTTCTGTCCATGTAGCTATTTCTTCACGTAAATTCATATCAGGATAACGATTTCTAGCAAATGTTGCTTCTAATTCTTGTAATTGTTGACTAGTAAAATGTGTTCGTTGACGTCGTTGACGTTTATTAAATTGTGTACGACAAGTATACTTTTTATTTACTAAAGAATTATTTATATTTGAATCATAAATTTCAAAATTTGATTTCATATGATCATTAAAATTTTTTATTGATGATTGATTTTTTGATTTTGGTAAATTATGAGAAATTATCCCATTATGATGTGAATGATTTGAATGTATCATAGGAGAATTTGTTGATGTTGAAGTAATTGTAAGAGGATTAATAAAATTATTAGAAGAAAATACATTGTTACTAGGACCACACAAATTATTAGGATTATCATGCTTATTATGTATGTTATTATTAGTAGTATTATTATCGATTATTTTGTGATGTACGGTCTCTTTTTTAAAATTAAAAGATTTTGTATTACGTTCAACTAATTCAGTTTGATAATTAATTAATAAGTCGGGTGGGAATGACTTTTTAATGTTATCATTAGTAATATTATTATTGTTATTATTATTATTATTTAATTTACTTGGTGTTAACTGAGTATTCAAATCAATAGTGTAAGATGTACCAAATTTTTCAAAATCATGTTTAAACGAATTTTTATTTATGGGATAAATTTGATCTGGATTTGAATAATTTCCAAAATTAGGATCATTTTTATTACATTTTTGTAATTTACATAAATCAGTTGTATTAGTATTCATAATAGTAGTAGTATTTGTTGAATGTAACATACTATTTGATATAACAAGACCTGATGTATGTGGAATGTACATTGATTTTAATAACTGGAAAACAAACATAGGAAATATGCTTAATTTTGTTTTTTTTTTTAATTAAGATTTATGAAGATTATTTTCACTACCCCCTTCATAAGATGATTTCCATCTCAAATGAACATCAACAGAAAAGTAAAAAAGCATTTGTTTCATTGATAGTTAGGATGTCATATGGAATCAAACCTAGAATCTTCAGATCTCTTGCTATATAGCGCTAAATAATCATACATTACTATTTAAGAGGCATTCAGTATTTCCTCATTTCTAATGATCGTTCAATTGATGATAATATGAAACGAAAACTATTTTTATTTGTTATTGGATTGGCTGACTAGACTCTTTAAAAATAGATTTTAAATAGTGACTTATGGAATCGTACTAAGATCATTGTCAAACACATTATCCAATGTTTCATATATATCAGAATGGGGATTTGTAGAGATTGTAGTAATTTTAATACCGTTGAATGCTGGTCTAGAGGTTAAGCGTTCGTATGCGAGACTGAAGGCCCTTAGTTCGAGCTCTGCGCTCTGGATTATGGATGTGTACTTCTGAGGAGTCTCATACTAGGATGAAACGGCCGTTCAATGCTCTCAAGCTTTCAATGGTGGTCTAGCTTAGATTGACTCATGAATTTAACCATTAAAATTACATATACATATTACTTTGCGGTAAAATTATTCATAATAAGAAAGTGAACTTGTTTAAATCCTTCATTCCAAATATAACTTCATTTTACCTTCATGTAATCTACATATAATCTATTCATTAACAAATACTATAACTTAAATTTCTAAGCTGAATACTAATGTCACTAAATGAAAATTTCTACATATAAATAGTATAAATTACTGAACAATATTTATCACTGAAGTTGCTATACAAAAATAAATTATACATCGTATGTTAAATAAATACATAATTTCGATCGATGGAAATTGTCCCTACAATGTCACACTGTCCCTACACACTCATTAATAAATTATAATTAAAGATATTGCTAATAATCTTATTTCTCCTCTTCGTTTTCTTTTATATATGAGTTTTAGTTCTTTTTTTCTCTCATAAATTCATTGTCTTGTTCTTTTCTCTTGAAGAATAAGTGAGCTGAAAATTAAAATGAATATCAAGTGTACTTATTGCTGTATTTACGATTATAATTTAGAAAACTTCTAATCAATACTTTTATTAACACTGTTGGCTGCCGCTTCAATGATCTAGATGTCAAGAGATCGAAGGTTCTAAGTTCGATTCCTGATTGTGGGGTCGTGAATGTGCACTGCTGGGGAGTCCCATACCAGGATGAATTGGCTATCTAGTACTCCGATGTTTTCAATGGTGGTCTAACTAAGATTAGTTTGTGATACAAAATCTATAACGATTATATAACCTCTACAAAACCATATTCTGATCACACCAAGTTAGTTATCTGTTTTATCTTTAAATGTTGGCTTTAGTTTACTAATGTCTATTCATATACTTACTCGGATGATTAATGTTTCTGTTTCCCAAACCCTACTAGGTTAGAACTTGAGAAATGAGTTAGTAAATATTTATCAAAATGAGGGTTTGTAGAAATTGTAGTAATTTAATAGTTGAATTCATGAGCCGATTTAAACTAGACTATCCTGGAAAACCTGGAAGTACTGGACGGCCGTTTCGTCCCACGTGAAGGATTGTGAGTGTTCACTGTTCATGAATCCCATACTCGGACGAAACAGCCGTTCAGTACTTCCAGTTTTTTCAGGGTAGTCTAGCTTAGATCGACTCATGAGTTCAACTAATAAATATTTATCAATTCGATAACCTCAAACATTTTGTCAAGAGAATCGAACCATCATAACAGTAGGAGAAATAAGAATTCATTTTTTACCCTAATAAGGGAGTTTAGTTACCACTTATTATAATAACGACAATAATAAATCTACTGATTATCAGATAATTGGTTCAAAGTATAAATTAAGCAGAAAACTTTCCTCAGTCTGCATAACACTCACTGAAATATGTTTTTACAACAGCCATTAACACGGGTATTTATCTCTAGCCACAAAAGTGTCAAGACACTCTTACTCTCAAAACTTTTCAGTTACATGATATATGTTGTGGCTGTGACGAAAAAAGTGTTTGAAATTAATAATATTGTTCAAAGAAAATGAACATCAATTAATAAGGTTTGGTATCATGATCCTTCAATTTATCATTGAACAAAAATATTTTCATTTTTGACTAATCTGATATATTAGACAAGCTACATCTCTTTTAAGTCAAGAAATATGTGTGGATTATGAGGGATTTTTACAGTAGTACTATATGGTTTCTCATTAGAACAAGGTATAAAGAGTAATCTTTCTTTTAAAAAAAGTCATTTATGGAAGATCAGAAATAATTCCTTATATATATATATATATATTTATGGAAGATCAGAAATAATTCCTTATATATATATATATATATATATATATATATATATATATATATATATATATATATATATATATATAAGGAATTATTTCTGATCTTCCATAAATGACTTTTTTTAAAAGAAAGATTACTCTTTATACCTTGTTCTAATGAGAAACCATATAGTACTACTGTAAAAATCCCTCATAATCCACACATATTTCTTGACTTAAAAGAGATGTAGCTTGTCTAATATATCAGATTAGTCAAAAATGAAAATATTTTTGTTCAATGATAAATTGAAGGATCATGATACCAAACCTTATTAATTGATGTTCATTTTCTTTGAACAATATTATTAATTTCAAACACTTTTTTCGTCACAGCCACAACATATATCATGTAACTGAAAAGTTTTGAGAGTAAGAGTGTCTTGACACTTTTGTGGCTAGAGATAAATACCCGTGTTAATGGCTGTTGTAAAAACATATTTCAGTGAGTGTTATGCAGACTGAGGAAAGTTTTCTGCTTAATTTATACTTTGAACCAATTATCTGATAATCAGTAGATTTATTATTGTCGTTATTATAATAAATGGTAACTAAACTCCCTTATTAGGGTAAAAAATGAATTCTTATTTCTCCTACTGTTATGATGGTTCGATTCTCTTGACAAAATGTTTGAGGTTATCGAATTGATAAATATTTATTAGTTGAACTCATGAGTCGATCTAAGCTAGACTACCCTGAAAAAACTGGAAGTACTGAACGGCTGTTTCGTCCGAGTATGGGATTCATGAACAGTGAACACTCACAATCCTTCACGTGGGACGAAACGGCCGTCCAATACTATATATATATATATATATATATATATATATATATATATATATATATATATATATATATATATATATATATATATATATATATATATATATATGAGAATGACATGGGCTTACTTTTAAAGATACTACTAAAATGGATTTAATTAATGAGGCAATACGAAAAAAATGCTTACTATAAACTTAGTTAGTAAAAGTAAAATATTACCATCATATTATGTATTGTTATAAATTAGAAATCAAATGAGATTATTCAGGGACTTACAAGTAAATCCTAAACAAATTAGGCTTCTTTGTTTTTTTTGTTATCGTTAATATTACTTTTTTCTATATTCTTCTTTTCGTTTAAGGTGATTAAGGATAAAGAGAGGAAATCCGTTATTATTTGGAGTTGTTTTTGTAGTTGTGTTCTTTTCTTCTTATTCTTCTGCTTCTTAGAAATTAAAGAATGATAACAGGTGCCCAGGATCAGACACAATGAATGGAATTGTTAAAGAGTGGGAGAGAGAGAGAGTGATGTAGAATGAATATATGTATGGATGATCGCAAAAGAGCTTATTTCATGTAAAGCTTATGTGATTTTCTGTCAAAATTCAGAAGGTTGAAGCTTTAACTGGATTTTGGCGACGTATAGATCTTGTATAAATCCTTGGGTTTTAAGTCGGCTTAATTGAACTAGTGATCAGAATACAAGCTAATCGGGTAATGTAATGATATGTATGTCAACTACTAAGCCTATTTAAACAGATAGTAGATTCTTAGGATTGAAACTATCTAATCTGCATATAAGTAATCTCGTTCGTGGTTGAGTTTAAAAATTTAGGTGTCTGTTTGACGCTCGCTCCCTTGTTTTGTATCTTTCTATATTACTCTGTACTGAATCTTATAGTGAATATTTTACTAGTCATACATATCTATTCTTCAATATACGTATCCACCCACCCTGTATTATTTTCTTCCCTCTGTTTTTCCGTCTCAAGCGAATAAATCTTTCGAAAAATCCCAATTTTATAAAGGATAGCTTGAATTTTCAAAAAAAAGAGGAGAAAATGAGTTTCAGGTCATGTGTGCTTAAATCAAGTAAATTCTTTAAGCCAGTAGGTTTTATTAAATCCTTTAAACCACTAAGCTTTAAGAATTTTGATTAAATTTCAAAAACAAGGTAGTGTGATGTCGGGCGTTTGAATTTACTTCTATATTTTAATCACATTCACCTAGAACATACAAATACACGTATTATACACACTCACATAAGAAGCAAACGAAATATAAAGAATCACACATAGGATATGAATAAATTTGACATCATTAGAATATGTCTAAGATTCTGGGGTAGACAATATTAAATCACATGCTATGACCAATCAGATTTTTAGTTATCCATTGAAAATAGACGTAAAAAGGGTAAGGAAAATTGATGTACCGTTTCGATAATCTCTTTTCATTCATAATTTGATGGAAAATAATCAGTCCTTAATAACTTTTGGGTAGATTTTGAAAGGATACAAAATGAAAGGAAATTTTTGGTAAAAATATTGTGTAACTAACATACACGATGAGAAATAAAAAAAAATAGTTTCCAGAGATATAACATTTAGTTTAGCCTCCAAGTGATATATTTGTAATTCTAATTTATATAATAAGATTATAAGTGTATTAACAATGATGATTTTCAAATTAGTATTAGTAAACATGTGATTGATCTGTGTCAGGTAATAACACTTGTAAAGTTTGTCAACTTGTATACTTCACATTCAAACTAATGGCTTTGTATAACATTAGCATATATATATATATATATATATATATATATATATATATATATATATATATATATATATATATATATATATATAAGCGTCTCTTTATGTTATCTTAACTGTTTGTCTAACTCAACTGAATCATTAAGTAGGGGTATAAATCCCTATTTTTAACAGTTCATCATAGAAAATGAGTCTGTTTTCGGAAAGGATGATTTCACTGAACAAGTTAAATACCTTTGGACATTGTATAGATTATGCATAATTTAAATAGTCATCTGGAAAAATTCAAAATATGACTTCAATGGAAAGCTACATCGTTATAAAGAACTGACTATTTCTAATCTCATAACCGAAGTAAGATCAGTGACTTGTGCTTATAATTTCATTTATATTTTTTCTTCGATATAACACATAATATACTCAGTTGTCACAGGCGAAGACTCTTTATCATTATACAGATAGATGTGATATCATTATTCTGTATGGGCACTTATCGAAGGACATACACTTACCAGCAACTGATACTTTTTCGACAGATCTTGATATTGGTCATTTAC